ATAGCAGCATCAGTAGCTGCAACAGTAGCAACGCCACCACCAGCAACAACAATAGCAGCAATAATAGTAACTCCACCACCAATAACAACAGCAGCATCAGTAGCTGCAACAATAGTAACGCCACCACCACCACCTCCTCCACTACCACGAGTAACAGTAGCGGCAACATTAGCAGTAATAACAGCAACAACAGCGCAAACAAAAACAGCATCAACCAACGGCACCACAAGAGAAAGCAACAGCAACAACAACCCCAGCATCGGCAACCCCATCCCCAGCAACAGCAACAACAACCACAGCAACAGCAACAACAACCCCAGCAACAGCAACAACAGCCCCAGCAGCAACAACAACAGCCCCAGCAGCAACAGCAACAACAAAAGCCCCAGCAGCAACAACAACAGCCCCAGCAGCAGCACCAACAGCCCCAGCAACAGTAAAAACAGCCCCAGAAACAGCAACAACAGCCCCAGCAGCAACAACAACAGCCCCCAGCAGCAGTAACAACAAAAACCCCAGCAGCAACAACAACAGCCCTAGCAGCAACAATAACAACAACCCCAGCAGCAACAACAACAGCCCCAGCAGCAACAGCAACAACAGCCCCAGCAGCAACAACAATAACAGCCCCAGCAGCAACAACAACAGCCCCAGCAGCAACAGCAACAATAGCCCCAGCAGCAACAACAAGAACAGCCCCAGCAGCAACAGCAACAACAGCCCCAGCAGCAAAAACAACAACAGCCCCAGCAGCAACATCAACAGCCCCAGCAACAGCCCAACAACAGCAACAACAGCCCCAGCAACAGCAACAACAGCCCAAGCAATAGCAACAGCAGCCTAACAACAGCCCAACAACAGCAACAACAACAGCAACAACAGTCTAACAACAGCAACAACAGCCCCACCAATAGCAACAACAGCCCCAACAACAGCAACAACAGCCCCAACAACAGCAACAACAGCCTAACAACAGCAACAACAGCCCCAACAACAGCAACAACAGCCCCAGCAACAGCAACAACAGCCCAACAACAGCAACAACAGCCCAACAACAGCAACAACAGCCCCAGCAACAGCAACGACAGCCTAATAACAGCAACAACAGCCCCAGCAATATCAACAACAGCCCCAACAACAGCAACAACAGCCCCAGCAACAGCAACAACAGCCCAACAACAGCAAAAACAGCCCAACAACAGCAATAACAGCCCCAGCAACAGCAACAACAGCCCAACAACAGCAGCAACAGCCCCAACAACAGCAACAGCAGCCCAACAACAGCAATAACAGCCCAACAACAGCAACAACAGCCCCAACAACAGCAACAACGGCCCCAGCAACAGCAACAACAGCTAGGAGAAACTAGAAGCAGATACGAAAGTTTAGATGTCACTCCAAATAGCCAATATTCCAAACTCCTCCTTTAAAGTGCAGGCATTGTACTTTCCGCCTCCAGGACTCAAGTCCGGTTAACCGGCTTCCTTGTATCCTTTCAGAAAGCATTAGCTGCTCACACTCCAACAGCTCGTCAGGTCCCAAAAACCATTCGTCTTCATTCACTCCTAAGACACTCACACACACCTACTGCATGTCCAAGCCCCTTGCACACAAAACCTCTTTTACCCCCTCCCACCATCCTTTCCTAGGATGACCCCTACCCTTCCTCCCCTCCACAACAGATTTATACACCCTCCTAGTCATCCTGTTTTGCTCCACCTCTCTAAATGTCCAAACCACCTCAATAACCGTAAAGACGAAACAAAAAACAATATTCAACACTGAACTGAGAATACGAACTGAATGTATAACAGTTAAGTACATACCTTCCTAACCATTGCTTTTAACGTTACGATTAGAGCATTGCAAATTAATTATCGAACACACTGCTAAACGTAGTCAGTTGCACGCACTTGCAACGAGCAATAAGGGACGCCAAATGTCGTGGAAATTGCTTTCTCAGGATGAGGTTCTGAAGTTTATTGGGGGATCAGAGAGTGAGGGAGAGCCTGTAGGAGACAATGAGAAGCATTTAGATGTGTTGTTGGCACCAGCTCAAGTGGTAATAGTCGCTTGTAAATGCTACATGCATAGCACTGTAAATACACATGCTACATGTTGTAAATACAATGTGCATAGCATTGTAAATACACATTCTAGGTGTTGTAAATACACGACGCACCATGCATAGCGCTGTAAATACACCATACATAGCACTGTAAATACACATGCTGGGTGTTGTAAATGTACATAGTGCTCTAAATACAACATACAAGTTGTATTTTAAGCAATAAGAAAACAGTAAACAGGTGATATCACTATACAAAACAACCACTGTGAAAAAAAATGAAATATCAAACGCCTTCGTGATTTCCCACATTGTCAAGAACCTGTGATACTGTGAGGAATCACGACAGCGATTGGAAGTTCACTTTATTTACAGTGGTTGTTTTACATGTTTAGTGTTGTAAACACGCACACATGCCCTGTAAACCTCATGCAGGTAATTTACTCACATAGAAATAAAAAAAAATTCACAATATATACACTTGTACACATTTATCAACGTACATAATTGCTCTATAGTAAATGTAACACTGATTTTCAAACAGGAAGGAAAATGAGAAATATCTCAGTTGTTTTATATTTAATAAGTCACACATACCCTTCAAGTTCACTTACAATATTATACAAACATTTACCAAGAACAATACTTTTTTTTACATATAGGCATCTGTAAATAGCGTGTGTAAATAATTCATTTACAAAGAGATTTCTGTCGGGAAGATGATATATACATACATGTAAATCACTTAAGCCTATTAAAAAAATCTCTCCTGCTCATGGCCTAGGATAGTGCCTATTGTGTATGTAAAAATGTAGAAACAATCTCTGTCTGGGTTTATTTTCAAGCCTATTGATACACAAGGGTTATTAAGGCTTTATGTCACCTGTTCACCACCAGTCAAAAAAACTTTTAATACCTAAAACAGAGATACCAGGGATATTATGGTGTATATACACACACACATGGATGACGCACACCTCTCTGTGTATATATATTTGAGAGGTACATATCTCTGTGTTTATACACCCTGAAGTATAGATACTTCTCCTTGTATACGCCCTTGATAGATGCTCTTCTCTCATTATATGAACAAAAAATACGATGAATATACGTTGCTACACAGCTCTCGATGTATATATCCCGAGAGATATATTCCTTTCGGTGTATATACGCTAAATAAACATTTGCAACATTTTTTTTCGAATCACATCAAGTATCTCCATTAAAGAAACCAGTGAAAAATAATTATGTAATTTTTTAATATAAAATTTTTTTTATTTTAAAAGTATACTAAAAGTAAAATTAATTTTATTTTATTAAAATTAACATCAAAGAAAATTATTTTTTTTAATAATTGTCTAAATTTTTTACATAATTATAGTCCACAGTTGTCCGAGGTGGAGCGGAAACTTCGGAAGATTCGACTAATTTTCAATAAATTTCTCTAAATATCCCAGAGGTCATTTTTATATTTTTGTCCAGCGCTTAGTAGATCAAAATCTTTTATGGGAGGATTTTTAGAAGTATTCCGTACAATATATATATATATATATATATATATATATATATATATATATATATATATATATATATATATATATATATATATATATATATATATATATATATATGTATATATATATATACATATATATATAATTGTACCCACGAAAGGAGTGGTATTGATCGATAATAGCACTGAGCTAGCCAAGGAGTCAAACCTATGCTGTTTTGGCCCGCATCATGGTGAGCGAAACCGCATGACGCTTTAGTCCACTAGTCTAGTGGTCTAAGGTGTCATGTGTTTTTGCTCACCATGAGGCAGGGTCTCGACTCCTTGGCTAGTGCAGCAGTTGTTTTATATATAATATATATATATATATATATATATATATATATATATATATATATATATATATATATATATATATATATATATATATATATATATATATATATATATATATATATATATATATATATATATATAAATATAATATAATATATATATATATATATATATATATATATATATATATATATATATATGGTATAAACCTTGGTAATAAATACCGACAAGTTGGTTTAGAAAGACACGTAAGCAAACACTATGACATATTTATTAGAAAACGTTTCGGTCCTGGGACCTTGATCACTTCTAACATACAGAGGTAGAAAGGCATTATATATATAGGCGGAGAGTGAGGTGTGACGCACGTGACCTGAGGAATGTCATAAGAACATGAGAACATAAGAATGGAGGAACACTGTAGAAGGCCTACTGGCCCATGCGAGGCAGGTCCTTATCAAAACAACCTCTGCCTACGATGAGGACGGGTAGACGTTGAAATCATGTGACTACTGTGCTGTTGGGTTGGTGGTGCTTAAGTATCATGTATGCCAATGTTCTATAGTGTCACTGACACTATAGAACGCAACACTGGAAACTACAAAATTTCAAAAACATTGGCATACATGATACTTAAGCACCACCAACCCAACAGCACAGGAGTCACATGATTTCAACGTCTACCCGTCCTCATCGTAGGCAGAGGTTGTTTTCATAAGGACCTGCCTCGCATGGGCCAGTAGGCCTTCTACAGTGTTCCTCCATTCTTATGTTCTCATGTTCTTATGACATTTCCTCAGGTCACGTGCGTCACACCTCACTCTCCGCCTATATATATATAATGCCTTTCTACCTCTGTATGTTAGAAGTGATCAAGGTCCCAGGACCGAAACGTTTTCTAATAAATATGTCATAGTGTTTGCTTACGTGTCTTTCTAAACCATATATATATATATATATATATATATATAATATATATATATATATATATATATATATATATATATATATATATATATATATATATATATATATATATATATATATATATATATGTATGTATATATATATTGACTATTCGTAATAAAGTTTCGCATTATTAAGCACCAGATGTCCCAGATAACATCAAGATATTTGTAAAAATGTATAGCATAAGTTTTTTTTCAAGGCTGGTAAGTTCTTTATATATATGAAGGTCGTAAAATTTCTTAAAAGGTAAACGCACACAGTGTCAAAGCATTTATATGTATAAAAAACGGGATATAACACTATCAGACAAGAGTACTTCTCTCGTTATCTCTGTCTACATCCTCCAGGCACCTGTGACAGTGTCTCACTACCTCACTTTCATCCTGTCTGTGTTTATATTCATGATCGTTCACGAAATTTACGTTAGTTTGCGTGCCTATCGCGTCAGCCTGTTGGCATTCGGAGGCACTCTCCTCCGTGATGACAGCTGGCACCGGATGCATGTCTCTGGCATCAGCTTCACCGTAAAGTGTTCGAGAAGTGTGACCCGGGGCTCTTCTCGTTGGGATTTCTAGGCCTGTCCTCTCTTCGGGCACCATAAGGGTATAGCACCCGCGGGTTGAAACGTGGGGGTCTCTGGAGGAGCCTGACCAATCTGTTTCGTTGCCGTTGGTGAGCGTTTCAGCGTCGGACACGGTCCTGGTGCTCACTTCGTCACTGTTACTCTTATCACTGTACATCTGATCACCAAGTGAGCCATCCTGAGCACCACTTTCACTGACATGCACATCACACGCGTGAACACCGTTCTGCAGTTGTTGTGATGTGGAAGGAGAGTCGCCGCCGCTGTAGGGGTACCTCTGATGCACTCTGGGTCTGTTTTCCTGACCATCTTGACCATGTGAAATACTTCTCGAAAAGCTTTTACTTCTGAGTTTGAGGGACTCTCCGTGGCGCTTCTTTATAGTAAAAGACGCAGCACGTCGGCTGGGGTGCTTAACGGAGTGAGATCGAGTGCGGGGAGTGATTTCGGGCATTAATTCCCTGTCAATGTAATCGAAACCAGCCCTGATAAGCTGGGGACTTTCTTCTTCACTATTATAACTGTGATTTACTTTCCCTGAGCTGCGTTGAGCTTTGTTTCTGGGGCAGTTGACTTTGACGGGACTGGAATGTCTGCGAGTAACGTCGAGTTTCTTCAGGGCCAGATGCACCCCGGTGGGAGATTTGGATACCTGCTTGGGGGAGAGTGAGAAGCAGGCTCCTCCTGTGTCACTATCACTGCTCCCGCCGCTACCCGCTGCTTCCTCGTCTTCGTCATTTTCATCAAGGATATCTTCGGCTCTGACGAAATCAGCTTCTACGTCATCGTCGTCGTCGTCGAAGGCGTCGAGGCCCTCATCGTCACTGACGTCCAGGGCCGCATCCTCACCCGCCTCCATCTCCTCACTGACGTGCTCGAGGTTACAGGATATATGAGGATTCCTATACGGAGACGTCTTCATGGGTGTGGTTATCGCTGTCTGTACTGGACCCATATATCTGTAGGCCCTGAAGGAGGCCGGGGGTGTCGGCTCCTCAGGAATAACCAGCTCTTCAGGGGTCGTCAGGAGGTCGGAGGCCGTGACCTCGGCATCAAATTCAGATTTCTCCTCCACTACGGTGTCCAGATCGATCTCAGGCATAGGCTTGAACCTGTGTACAAGTAGGAAAACTATATATTATTAAAGGAGATCTAAGAACATGCTTTGAATATATATATATATATATATATATATATATATATATATATATATATATATATATATATATATATATATAAATATATATATATATATATATAAAATATATATATATATATATATATATATATATATATAAATATATATATATATATATAATATTATATATATATATATATATATATATATATATGCGTATATACAAAACTTGCTACAAGGGGACTCAAGAAATCGTAATGACACGATTGAAAATTAACCATACCACGGGCGGGGTTGAACCCGCGATCCTAGTTGAACGAATCTTATTGTGGTTAGCTGGTCCCAGCCCATGGTATGTTTTTTTTATGCTACAAGGGGAAGATGCAGCACCTGTCACCACTACTTCTTCAGGAGTATTGCAATATCAGGAAACTGATGAATGAAATGAAAAATCACTGGGGTGGCCAAGTGTGGAACCGGCCACAACCGGCCGCAACCGGCCACAACCGGCCACAACCGGCCACAGCCCCCCATCTCCCACCGAGATAGGGTGACCCATCGTTCATTCAATAACTGTCTCGCCAGAAGTTTGCAGAAATCCCAGTTCAAATGATCCTTCAACCTGCAACATCTTCACCTGCACTTCCCACCTCCAGGACTCAAGTCCTGCTAACCAGTTTCCCTGATCCCATTCATAAATGTTACCTTACTCACCACACACACACACACACACACACACACACACACACACACACACACACACACAAAACCCACACACACACACCACAACACCAAACACCCACACCAACACCACCCCAACACACCACAAACACCACACCACACACACACACACACACACACAACACACCATACAACGACTAACACCAAAATTATCTTACCTTACAAGAGCCCTTTTTTCTCTTCTGTCTAAAAGTTTACCTGTTAAAAAGGGAAAACTGGAAGTAACTGAGAGAAAATCGCAACCACATCAATAAGCAAAAAAAAAATACTTCATGAATCCCTTTAGTTTTAAATTAAACTTAAACTGAGGGCCCATTTTTTATCAATTAAAAGCAAGTTCGTCAGCCGTTCACACTTCGTAACGGGGCCTGAAAAAAATTTAATTTTGGTCTCTGAGGTAATGACAGCTCGCGTTACTTTGTGTTTTGGCAAACTCTGATTAATTAGTATTGGGATTATTATTATTATTATTATTATATTAGTAGTAGTGTAGTAGAAGTAGTAGTATAGAGTAGTAGTATTAGTAGTAGGGGGATTATTATTATTATTATTAATTATTATTATTATTATTATTTTTATTATTATTTTTTAAAAGAATTAATATTAATGAAAAAATAAATAATAATTTTTTTATAATATAAAAATTATTAATTTTTTATAAAAAATTATTTTTATTACAATTATTATTATTATTATTATTATTATTATTATTATTATTATTATATTTTTATTATTTTTTATTTAAATCGTGTGTGGGGAGGTGTTGTGTTGGGTGTGGTGTGTGTGGTGTGTGTGTGGTGTGTGTGTGTGTGTGTGTGGTGTGTTGTGGGTGTGTGAGTGACCACCATTGACTCACCTATTTGGGGTTGCGGGGGGTCGATTCACAGCTCCGGGCCCCGCCCTTCGCTGATTGCTACGGGTCCTTCTCTCCCTCCCCATGAGCTCTATCATACCTCCCTTAAACTAGTAGGGTTTCCCCCTGCCTCCACTACGTCACTTTCTAGGCTATTCCTGGGTTCCCTTGGGAAAAAAAAAAATTTTCCAAAATTCCCTTTGATTCATCTGAGCTTCCTTCCAATTGGACCCCCTTGTGTCGTGTCCCATCTCTGAACATCCCGCTTTTTTCCACCTCGTCTATTTCCCCGCAGTATTTTTTAGTCGTTATCATGTCCCCCTGACCCCCTTCCCCAGGTCGCAGGCCCAATTTTCCCCCCCAAACCCTTTTTTTCATAGGGCAATCCCCGTAAACCCGGGACTGTCTTGTTGGAAACCTTTGCACTTTTTAATTTCTTGTGTTGTGTGTGTGTGAGTGGTGTGTGTGTTTGGTGTGTGTGTGTGTGTGTGTGGTTGTGTGTGGTTGTGGTGTGTGTTGGTGGTGTGTGTGTGAGTGTATGTGTGTGTGGTGTGTGTGGTGTGTTGTGTGTGTAGGTTGGTGTGTGTTTTAGTGCGGGGGTGTGATGTGTGTGTGTTGTTGTGGAGTGCGTGTGTGTGGTGTTGAGTGTGGGTTTTTTGGTGTGTGTGTTGTGTGTGTGTTGTGTGCGTGTGGGGTGTGTGGTGTGTGGTGTTTTGGTGTGTGTTGTGTGTGTGTGTGTGTGGTTAGGTAGTGCGTGGTGTGTGTGTTGGAGTGCTGTGTGTGTGTGTGATGAGTGTGTGTGTGTGTTGGTGTGGTGTTTTTTTGAGTGCGTGGTTGTGGTTGTACTCCTTAATTGTTTTTTATTTATTATTTATTTTATTTCCCCCACCGGGGCCCTTTCCCCCCCAAGGCGGGGGGGCCCAAAAAGAAAAACTTTTACCATCATCCTCCTCACTGTCTGAGAAGGGTGCTTTACACACAGTTTTAAACGCAAAATTTAAAACCCCCCTTCAATCAGGGACGTACTTTTCCCTCTCCAGGACTCAAGTCCGGCCGCCGGGTTTCCCTGAATCCCTCATAAATTTACTTTGCCCACACTCCAACAAACACTCAAGTATAAAAACCTTTGTCTCCATTCACTCCATAAAACGCTCACCATGCCCGCTGGAAGTCCCCAAACCCCTCGCACCCCAAAACCTCCTTTTCCCCCCCCTCCAAACCCCTTTCCCAGCCGACCCCTACCCCGCCTTCCCTTCCCCTACAGACTGATACACCTTTAAGTCATTCTATTTCGCTCCATTCTCTCACATGCCAACCACCTCAACAACCCTTTTCCCCACCCTCTGGGCAAAATTTTGGTAAACCCGACCCCCCTAACTTCCCAAAAAACGAATTCTCTGCATATATTTTACACCACACATTGCCCTCAGACATGACATCTCCACTGCCTCCAGCCTTCTCCTCGCTGCAACATTCATCACCCACGCTTCACACCCATATAAGAGCGTTGGTAAAACTATACTCTCATACATTCCCCTCTTTGCCTCCAAGGACAAAGTTCTCTGTCTCCACAGACTCCTAAGTGCACCACTCACTCTTTTTCCCTCATCAATTCTATGATTCACCTCATCTTTCATAGACCCATCCGCTGACACGTCCACTCCCAAATATCTGAATACGTTCACCTCCTCCATACTCTCTCCCTCCAATCTGATATTCAATCTTTCATCACCTAATCTTTTTGTTATCCTCATAACCTTACTCTTTCCTGTATTCACCTTTAATTTTCTTCTTTTGCACACCCTACCAAATTCATCCACCAATCTCTGCAACTTAATTGTACTCACCTAATTGTGGTTGCAGGGGTCGAGACTCAGCTCCTGGCCCCGCCTCTTCACTGATAGCTACTGGATCCTCTCTCTCTCTGCTTTCTGAGCTTTGTCATACCTCTTCTTAAAACTATGTATGGTTCCTGCCTCCACTACTTCACTTGCTAGGCTATTCCACTTGCTGACAACTCTATGACTGAAGAAATACTTCCTAACGTCCCTGTGACTCGTCTGAGTCTTCAGCTTCCAGTTGTGACCCCTTGTCCCTGTGTCCCCTCTCTGGAACATCCTATCTCTGTCCACCTTGTCTATTCCCCGCAGTATCTTGTATGTCGTTATCATGTCTCCCCTGACCCTTCTGTCCTCCAGTGTCGTCAGTCCGATTTCTTTTAACCTTTCCTCGTACGACATTCCCTTGAGCTCTGGGACTAGCCTTGTTGCAAACCTTTGTACTTTCTCTAACTTCTTGACGTGCTTGACCAGGTGTGGGTTCCAGACTGGTGCTGCATACTCCAGTATGGGCCTAACATACTCAGTGTACAGTGTCTTGAACGATTCCTTATAAGGTATCGGAAACGCTATTCTCAGGTTTGCCAGGGGCCCGTATGCTGCAGCGGTTATTTGGTTGATGTGTGCCTCCGGTGATGTGCTCGGTGTTATGGTCACCCCAAGGTCTTCTCCCTGAGTGAGGTCTGTATCTTTGTCCACCTAGCCTATACTCTGTCTGCGGTCTTCTTTGCCCCTCCCCAATCTTCATGACTTTGCATTTGGCTGGATTAATTCGAGAAGCCAGTTACTGGACCACATGTCCAGCCTCTCCAGGTCTCTTTGCAGTCCTGCCTCATCCTCGTCCGATTTAATTCTTCTCATCAACTTCACGTCATCTGCGAACAGGGACACTTCAGAGTCTATTCCTTCCATCATGTCGTTCACATATATCAAAAATAGCACTGGTCCTAGAACTGACCCCTGTGGGACCCCGCTCGTAACAGGCGCCCACTGTGATACCTCTTCACGTACCATGATTCGTTGCTGCCTCCCTGTCAGGTATTCCCTTATCCATTGCAGTGCCCTTCCTTTTACGTGTGCCTGATCCTCCAGCTTCTGCACTAATCTCTTGTGGGGAACTGTGTCAAAGGCCTTCCTGCAGTCACAATACATGTCAGAGACACAGGTCTGTAGTTTAGTGCCTCGTTTCTGTTTCCTTTCTTAAATATGGGGACTACATTAGCAGTCTTCCATTTCTCAGGTAGTTGCCCAGTTTCAAGGGATGTGTTGAAGATTGTGGTTAGAGGCACACACAGCATCTCTGCTCCTTCTCTAAGGACCCATGGGGAGATGTTGTCCGGTCCCATCGCCTTTGAGGTGTCAAGGTCACTTAAGAGCTTCCTCACCTCCTCCTCAGTTGTTCGTATGTCATCCAACACTTGTTGGTATATTCCCTCTTGATGTTCCCTTCTGTGCTGTCTTCCCACAGCCCTTCCTGTCTCTACTGTAAAAACTTCCTTAAATCTCCTGTTCAACTCCTCATATACCTCCTGATCATTTCTTGTGAGTTCTCCACCTTCTGCCCTTAATCTGATCACCTGGTCTTTGACTGTTGTCTTCCTCCTGATGTGGCTATACAACAGTTTCGGGTCAGTCTTGATTCTCGATGCTATGTCATTTTCATACTGTCGCTGGGCCTCCCTCCTTACCTGTGCGTACCCCATTCCTGGCTCTGCGACTGATCTCCCTATTTTCGTGTGTTCTCTGCCTTCTGTACTTTTTCCATTCTCTATTGCACTTTGTTTTTGCCTCCTTACACCGTCGAGTAATCCAGGGGCTTGTTCTGGTCTTCCCGTTGTTACTGTTGCCCTTGGGAATGAACCTTTCCACTGCCTCCTTGCATTTTGTTGCACATATTCCATCATTTCATTACTGGTTTTCCTGCCAGTTCTCTGTCCCACTGGACCTCCCGCAGGAAGTTCTTCAACCCTATGTAGTCCTCTCTTTTATAGTCAGGCTTTTCCCATTCTACTCCTGTTATTCTCCACTTGCAGCTCTACTATGTATTCAAAGCACAGAACCACGTGGTCGCTAGCTCCTAGGGGACTCTCATACTTGATGTCCTCAATGTCTGAGCTGCCCAGGGTGAACACAAGGTCCAATCTTGCTGGTTCATCCTCCCCTCTCACTCTGGTAGTGTCCTTAACATGTTGGTGGATGAGGTTTTCCAGCACCACGTCCAACATCCTGGCTCTCCATGTTTCGGGACCCCCATGTGGCTCCAGGTTTTCCCAGTCAATCTCCCTGTGGTTGAAATCCCCCATAACCAGCAACTTTGCTCTGCTGGAGTGAGCTCTTCTTGCCACCTCAGCAAGTGTGTCCACCATTGCTCTGTTGCTCTCTTCATATTCCTCTCTTGGCCTCCTGCAGTTCTGTTGTGGATTATACATCACTGCAATGACCACTTTGTGTTCCCCAGACTGAAGTGTACCTGCTATGTAGTCTCTTTCTCCCGTCTCATCTATTCCTTCCATTTTCTCGAATTTCCATCTGTTTTTTACGAGCAGAGCAACCCCACCTCCCCCCCTGCCCCTTCTATCTTTCCTCATGATCTGGTATCCTGGTGGGAAGATTGCATCTGTTATTGTCTCCATGAGTGTGTGAATGTGTGTGTGTGTGTGTGTGTGTGAGTGCGTGTGTGTGTGTGTGAGTTTGTGTGAGTGTGTGTGTGAGTGTGTGTGTGTGTGTACATGTACTCACCATTGCTGTAGCGACTGGACAGGATAGATGGTCCAGACGCGAGCTCCAAGAGTGATGACTCCACACTGTAAGAGATAATGTGGAATTTATGAGAGAAAGAGAGAGAGATGATGGCTCTAATGTCCCTAGAGATCAAGACCCCTTCACCTGCATCAAAGTCCCTCCCTCAGAGAGTCTTAGAGGCATATATGTTCCTCCAAGAGTCACTTACATTTATTTTTCAAGAAATTCAGCACTGAAACTAATGACTCTCATAACTCTCAAAACACTACTACACTTATATCAGGTAACTGATGCAGATTATTCATAGGAAAAACTGGTGGAGGCTTGATTCTCCGTCTACTAAGAGCGAGGTAGCCACCCTGTTGACGGAAACAGGGTAGAATACATGGAATTAAATGCGAGGTCCATGTGAGGTATGTTAGGTAAGATGACACAGTTGCAACAAATGTGACAGTTGCAACATATGTGACAGTTGCAACATATGTGACAGGTGCAACATATGTGACAGGTAAATGTGAAAACATGTGAAGTATATGCGGTTACATACGTAGTAAATGTGAAGTGAGTGAGAGAGTAGAAGAGATGTGAGTCCACATTGAGGATATCTGTTGAGAAAAGCTGTCTCTTAGTACATTAAAGATAGTCGTGTATTATCTATGCGTGTAAGTCAAAGATTACACACACATCAGAGATACTTTTATTGGGATAACATTTCGCTCTAAATAAATAGTTAGGTTGGTTACTGGGACTTCTGGCTACACGAGGGTCACTAAACGTAGTCATTTTACGCTAAAACAGGGATTAAAATAAGCTTTTAGCGTATAAATACGCTGGCAATAATATACTTCTCTGTTTATATATACCCGGTGGAGCTTTATCAATCTGACAGTTAGCCCCAATGAAAGCTCGTTCTCTGAGGTGCTTTCTTAAGTCAAGATACTGAGACAAGAGAAAAGATACTTACTTGTGAGCTTTCTTAGCTGAGATACGTGCTCGTCTCGCTCTGTACCTGAGACCACAGATGACCAGCATCACCAGCAGGGGGAAACCAATGATGCAGGAGAGTATAGGCACCACCACCACCCTAGGCGACACTGTACACAAGACCAAAAGCACCAGCTGTGGGTCATCATATGACTAAGACCCGCCTCAGGAAACACTTGTCCTGTTTCCTGATAAATCTTATCTACTCTAGCCTACATGTACTCAACACACATATCTTACGTCAGTGACTAGCACTGAATAAGTATGTGACACGTTTGATATTATTAATACATGATATGGCTTAATAATCGTATAGATATACTAAACATACGTGTGTATAACTTTTATTAGTGTATATTGTGAGAAATTAGACACATGTGCAGCATCTGAGTATCTTTATTTTAGACGTTTCGCCCTCCAGTGGCTTTATCAATGCAAATTCAAGAACATAATTGGAAGACAAGAGAAGTATATAAAAAAAGAGAAGGTAATCAGTCCCTCCGCCTTTGTATTGACAAAACTACTGATTGGCGAAACGTCTATAATACATACCATTCATGAACAATGTATATTGTGGTTAGTGTGTTAGGTAAATGTATACTAAACATTTTATACGTAAATCTAGATTTATATATTAGGGTTTAGGATTACAAAGATATAGTTTTATATTATAACTTAACATGGAGGTTATATTCCGAACCACTGACCAATTGTTCTGGTATAAACCATGGTTTAGAAAGACACGTAAACAAACAGAAGTAATCAAGGTTCAAGGAGCGAAACAATTTCGAATAAATATATCCTTGTTTTTTGCTTACGTGTTTTTCTAAATCATCAATGGTTATCCTTCTATCCTTCTGAAGGTGTTACACTGGCGACTCACACCTCTGTTTGACCACGAAATCAACTCATCGGAAGTAAAGTCACAGACTTGAACTCTCCTCACCTCTCTCCCTCCCTCTCCATCTCTTCTTGTATGTTAATAAACAGAGGGAGAGAGGTGAGGAGAGTTCAAGTCTGTGACTTTACTTCCAATGAGTTGATTTCGTGGTCAAACAGAGGTGTGAGTCGCCAGTGTAACACCTTCAGAAGGATAGAAGGATAACCATTGATGATTTAGAAAAACACGTAAGCAAAAAATAAGGATATATTTATTCGAAATTGTTTCGCTCCTTGAACCTTGATTACCTCTGCTTGTTTACGTGTCTTTCTAAACCATGGTTTATACCAGAACAATTGATCAGTGGTTCGGAATATAACCTCCATGTTAAGTTATAATATAAAATTATATCTGTTTATTAAGGAAGTCGCGTATACGCTGTATTGTGAGTCCAACATCTCGTCCGGTACTGCAGATTCTCTTCTAGATGGACACGGGGAAACTAGATCATGGAAGGCATGTGGGTTTTTCCCTAAACCACTCCAAATGTGAACAAGTTTCCTGCGAACCACAAATAACTGGTTTAAAAAGATATGTGTGTTTTAAGAGGTATGTGTCTAGAAAAGACATGTATCTTTCTAAATCAAATTGTAGGTAACAGTTACCACGGTTGATAAAAGGAGATAATTGCTTAATCATGGTGACCTTGTCAGGAGGGCGAGCCATCGATTTCACCGACTGTACTTCCCCTGGTGCTCGTGTCAGTTACATCACTATCGACCCGTCGACAAGGACAATTTGTGTGTGTGTGTGTAGTTCACTTGTAATGTGTAGTTAAGAGAAATATTTCGCCACGACTGATGAAGGCCACTTCGTGGTGAAGCGTTCCGAAACGTTCGGAAGTGTTTTTAGCAGAGTCTGTCGGCCTCGCCCCACCATTAACACCGACCTGTCTGATCTTACAAGACACAGTCTCCGACCTTGGGGGAAACAGACACTAATACAGTATATGTATTCTACTTATTCAGCTACTGAATAAGTAGAATACATATACTGTATTAGTGTTTACTACACTCTACGAGTGTATTAAAAACAACCATAGATAAATAGTTCAGAGAACCAACAAGTTGATAAATTAGACACATGTACAACACTTGGGTATCCTCAATAAAACTGAAGAATTAGACACATAAGTGACATCAGGGTATCTTTGTATGTAGACTTCTCGTCAACCAGTGGTATTATCAGTGTTGGACATCTGTCTAATTTATCAACAACTACCATAGTCGACAACCATTACTTTCCCAGCAGCCTGAACCTCAACAAATGGCGACATTGCTAATCAATTAGCAACAAGCTAATTCCCAGGAGAGATATACGAGCCTGAAATAGTTACTTGAAATAGCTGAGATTTGTGTGGCTGGTTTGCGCCAACAAGCTCTCCAACACCCCGGAAAAAAACAAAAAAGCATCTCATTAAAACTTTACACACACTCCTTAGTTAAATTTATAAATAATGAGGAGGAAATTGTGTCTTATTTGTCCCTTTATTTATATTTCGAAGCAGGAGTTCGGAAAAAACCCTGGAATAAAATTACAGAATAAAATTTCTTGTATCATAAAAACCCAATCCCTTTATTTATTTTGGGTATGTGGAAGTCAAGTGTCTGTATTCCCTTGTTCGTGTTATTTTCCCTTCCTTTTCGTGCTATATTCCCCCTTGTTCGTGTCTATTTTTCTCCTTGTTGGGTGTCTAAAATTCTCCTTGTTCGTGTCTATATTCCCCCCTTGTTCGGTCACATTCTCCTTTTTTCGTGTCTAAAATTTCTCCTCGTTCGTGTCTATATTCTTCCTTTTCGTGTCTTTTATTCTTTTTAATGCTGCCCGAAATTCTCCTTATTCGGTGGGACATTTTTTTAAAATTTGTCCTACTTTCCCTTATTTAAATCGTGTCTACATTTTTTTTTTATTTCGTGTGTACATTCTCCTCTTTCATGTCTACATGGGTTCCATTTTTAGGGTCCATGTTTTTTAAAAACATTTTGCACCCTTTATTCACGATCTTATCTTTTTTTTGTAAGTATAAATTATCCGGGCAGCAAGTTGTACTGCTTATCCGACACATAAAGTTTCAGAAAACCCTTCCCTTAATAGCAACGATTTAACCCCGATTCTTGAAATATTCTCAAAATGATAGTCTGGCATGGGTTTTACTCTTGTAAAAATAATAATAAAAAATAATAATAATAATAATAAAAATAATAATAATAATAAAAATTAATAATAATAATAATAATAATAATAATTAATAATAATAAATAATAATTGTTATTATTAAAAAATAATAATTTTATTATTTTTAATTAATTTTATTAAAATTTATTATTTTTTTTATTATTATTATTATTATTATTTTATTATTATTTTTTTAAAATTTTTAAATTTTTTATTATTTTTTATTATTTTTAGTATTATTAAAAATTATTTTTATTTCTACGGGTTTACATGATGTAACTATAACAAACCCGGGTGCCCTTTAATTGGCACGATTATAAAAAGACACTTGTTATGTGGACTTTTTGGGACCAATTGGGTTAATTTTGTCCCCAAAATGCGACCCACACCAGTCGTCTAACCCCCAGGGGCCTATTTTACTGCTGGGTGAACAAGGGAGGCAGATGAAAGGGTTTAAACAACACCCAGGTACCTACTTACTGCTGGGGGGAAACAAAAAAAGGGCCCGATGAAAGGGTTACTAAAAACCCATGAAACCTATTTACGCTGGGTGAACAAGGGGAGGAAATTTGCAAGGTGCCCAAAACACCCCAATTTACCTACTTACAGCGGGCTGAAAAAAGGGGAGGCAGATCAAGGGGGCCCTAACACCCATGAAACCTACTTCCCGCGGGCTGAAAAAGGGAGGAGGAAAGTTTGCAATTTGGACTAACACCCAGAAAACCTACTTACTGCTGGGAAACAAAAAGGAGGCAATGCAAGGGGGAACTAACACCCAGAAACCTACTTACTGCGGGGTTTGAACAAGAGGGCAGATGCAAGGTGACTAACCCCCCATTTTACCTACTTACTGCTGGGTGAAAAAGAGGGGGGAAATTCCAAGGTGACAAACACCCATGTACCTACTTACTGCTGGCGAACAAAAGGAGGCAGATAAAGGGTGACTAACACCCAGGTACCTACTTCTCTGGGTGAAAAGGGGAGGCAGATCAAGGTGACTAACACCCGGGCCCCTTTTAACTGCGGGCAAACAAGAGGGGGCAGATACAAAAAAATAACACCCGGGTACCTATTTTTAAACTGCGGCAAACAAAGACACCCGGGTTAAAGGAAAGATGCCAAATTTTTCCACATGTACCGGGGATCAAACCCCCGGTCCCTCAGTGGGGGTGGGGAGCTAAAAAAGCTCCCCAACCACCCCACGAGCCCCCCCACCCCCATCTGGACACAACCCATTTTTCAAAAATTTTTACGAAGAAAAATAGAATTTTCCTCAATATTTTCAAGTTTTTTTTTTCATTTTTTTCCAACATTTGGGGCAAATATTCTGTCCAATATATATATAAATATATATATAAATTTTAAAATAATATATATATAATATATATATATAAAATATATAAATAATATAATATATATATATATTTAATAGTCGTTTTTTTCCACTGGGGGCCCCCTTCCCGGGAAAAGGCCTTCCACTGGGGGGGGCCCTTTCCGGGTTTGGGCCTTTCACGGGGCGGGGAATTTTCCTTTTAAAGGCCTTCCACTGACGAGGTATCCGGTCAAGGACCGGGCACTGGGGGGTTCACCTTTTTTAAAACCTAGGTGTTATTTCCCGGGTTTTTGACCATACCTCGCCCTCGAGACTACCTCACCCTTAAACCCCCCAACCAATACCCCCCCCCCACGACCCCCCCCCCTTTGGGACCCCCGCCGTCCGCCGCGCGCCCCGCGCCCGGACCCCCGCCCCGCCCCCGCCCCCCCGCGCGCCCGCGCACCCGCGCGCCCCCCCCCCCCGCCCCGCCCCCCCCCCACCCCCCGCGCCCCCGCCCGCCCCCCTCGCGCCTTCGCTCCCCGCCTTCGCACGTCGTCCATCGCCCCCCCCCCCTTCCAAATTTTTTTTTTTTCTTATGATCCCTGGGGATAAATTTTTTGGGTTTCCCCCCTTTGGGTTTTCGAAATTCCCCAACTCCTTGGATCGGTTTTGGGATTTCTCCACCCCTTTGGGATAAAGGGTTTTTTGGGATTTCTCCATCTC